AATAATAATAATAATAATAATAATAATAATAATAATAATATTGCTTTAGATGTCCTGTTTTAATTTATATTGTAACCCACTGAGTCCTATTCAGGAGAAATGCAGGCTATAAATAAAAACAATAAAATTAAAATAAAAATAGAATGATGCTTGCCTATGGTACCACAAATCAGCCATGGATGGAAGATACAGTTGATGTTTTATTTTATTTTTTCAAATCTGATTTTAATGATATTAGCTTCCTCTAGGATTATTTTTAGTGAGATTGGGATAGAAATCTAATTAGTAGATAAGCAAAGGTAGCATGCCTTGTCTTGATGGCATCACCAAACCCAATTTGTTGTCCATATACACATAGAGTATACAAGCCAGCTTAAAGAAAGAGCTCCTGTAGATATACTTCTCTTAAGCTATTAGGCAAAAGGGCTGAAACTGAGATGTCAGTACAGTCATAAGTAGCAAAGCTCCTGTTGTGCTACAGTTATAGAATAAATTTTTAGGTCTCCAATTTAATGCAAACTTACATAACTTACATACAGGGGATGCAGTGGCTTAGTGGTTAAGACACCAATTCTGATGATTGTAAGGTTGGAAGTTTGGCTGTTTGAGGCCCAAGTGCTGCATTATGTACAAGAGTTTCTGTCACCAGTCCCAGCTTCTGTCAACCTAGCAGTTTGAAAGCATGCAAATGCAAGTAGATAAATAGGTACCACTTTGGTGGGAAGGTAACAGCATTCGGCACAGTCATGCTGGCCACATGACCACTGGAGTTGTCTTTGGACAATGCTGGCTCTTTGGCTTAGTAATGGAGATGAGCATCACCCCCTACAGTCGTTTACAACTAGACATTCATGTCAAGGGACTACCTTTACCTTTACATAATTAGTACTTTCCAATAAATCAAATAAACCAAAATGAAGCTATAATTTAATATCTTCACTACACATTAGTAGAGATTCATTTTGCATTGACTGATTTTATCTTTCAGGTCAATTGGTTTTGTATTTTGTATGCTTTCATATTTGTATTTTGTATTTTGCATTGTGCTGTATTTTTTTTTATACCTTATTCTGAGTTAGGTCCACAAGATCTATACATTTCCTTCATTTATATTCACAGTTCTACAAACTTTGCAATGCAGTTCTTCAACAGAAAATGTATATAAAAATGCATATATTAAAAGAAAGAGCCCCAAAAATGTTGGTAACTAGTGAAAATAAAATGCAGAGGGAGGATTGCTTAGAAAACATTTCTTTAGTAAAATTATGTACAAGATGTGTATGTTAGGATTAATGCATACAAAAATACATGCAACTTTCATAATGACAAAAAATTGCAAACCAAAACAGAAGTGAGCCAAAATGAATTTAAGATTCAAAAAGAGAAAAACCAAGGAAACCAAAAATGACAGCTTCATTTCTCCCTGCTTCAGAGAGAGGTTCCAGT